CTTCCTCGTTGATCAGACAACTTTTTGCTGATCTTGAATTGAGTGTGTGGAATTTTCAACCCACAAAAACCCGCGTATTATTACCGCTAGGAACTTGGCGGTGTTTGTTGAACCATATTTTGGATACAATGAACAAGAGATGCCTTTCCCCTCCAAACTACAATATACTGACTCTTCATTAACTGGTTTTTTTGGTCCATTATTCCCCCCCCCCTCTCCCCTCATTGACATATTTCTCGTGTCCCCTCGGCGCCACCCGCCCACACACCATCATAACTGTCAGTCACGTTCAAAATGGCCCAATTGGATCTGGTGTTGGTACACCAGGAATCATGCATCCGTCCTCGAGCCCTGTATTGACCCCGCGAGAAAAAGCACCAAACTCTGACTAAACAACCAACCCATTTATATGCACAATTCCACCAAATCGCAGCTGTGATGCTCTGATACTGATCTGGCAGTCCTCCTCTCCATCATCATCATCATCAATGTAGCCTTACTTATCTCGTCCACCATACGCCTACTCGATAAACTCATGCACCATTGACTTTTGTGATGACTCAAGTGGCCTTTATGCTTTCTTTCATACACATGTAATACTGTCGTTGTTCTTCTTGATGCCGGTAATTTGCGATAATGGTGTAACTAACCATACGGGCATCACTATTCACATATTTTACGTTCAATTCACAGACTACCTATCATCGTCGCCCCGCCCCCTCCTCTCCCCAGTCGAATCCCCCCACCCCCTAATTGAGTCCGAACGTTTTTGGTCGTCTCGATCACCACTTGCCCCCTTCATCACCATAAGAGATCGTGTCTACCAAGCCCACTGACTCGTAACCTCGGATTGTGCCTTTTTGCACCGACTATAATCCCTACCAATTACCGTGACCAATAGTAGTCGTTATTTGCGGCCGGTAGTAAAGAAACAAAACAAAGCTCAAACCGGCAAAATTTCCGTTTCTCTCTCTTCTTCCCACCCTCGCGCGCCCGCGTACATTCGCACTTGCCCATCACTTATCCAAAAATTGACTGAATCCCTGGACAACAGTGGTGCAGACGAAACCTGTGTAAATTTTCATTGTTTGATAACGGCCGTCTGACCGTTTATCTTTGATTGGAATGGGCACACTTATTCTCTCTCTCTCTCTCTCTGTGGTTCTCTCGTAGTCAAGACACCAAGCCGAAATACTAATGGGTCTAGAATGTCGGTTGGTTATATCTGTGACTGCTTCATCTTTCCAAACTACGCACAACGACCTAAGATGGTTGAACTGGTGAGCTTTGTCGGTGTGCTAGAACGGAATTCGTGTTTTATTCATTGCGTCAAACAATTGTTTCCAGATACTATCCATTCGAAATACACATCAGTCATAACGAGAGGGACATCCCGCGTGTAAGTTATCAGTGTGAAAGTAGACGAAATATTCAAATCCACCAAGGATACACAATCTTCCTGCTGAAGGCTATTTTACAGGAGAACAAAGTTACTTGACTTGAGGAAACGACAAAGTAAACCAAATACAGCATCCGGGTGATCTGACTAACCAAACCAGAGGGCTGATATTTCACTTATCCAGAATATGGTACTTATCATCAATCACCATCGGCTATTTATATCCCTTGCACTTGGGTCAGCTAAATTTCGTCGCAGACCAGAATACCGGAAGGCTCGGTATTCCCGATTGTTGAACACAATAGGTTTCCAATTCGACTCTACCCAATCGCTCAGTATCACCGTTGCTACTGTTGTTGTATGCCTACTTTTAGACACCGTTGGTAGTTCTCGAGGCCGTATTAGTGTTATACATCNTACATCCACAAGATGGTGCCGGGACAGTTATAAGAAACCGTCAACCGCATCCCTTTTAAGTGGCTGGGCAGGAAACCGAGTGACGGTCAATGTCTGTGAAATGTCCAGTTCACGAACGCATGCTGCCGGGTACTTCATGGTGCGATAAACGTGGAAGATAGAATGATAAGCGAACTATACAAAAATGTATTAGAAGCCATGTATCTGCGGTGAATCGGGCTGGACAAAACAGTTGGGATGTGAGGGACGACAGCGTGCAATGGCTTCTGGTAGGCACAGGGAGGGAGTAAATACAAAACGAAAATCGTGTATTTGTCGCCAGGGTCATCTGACCGTATCAGGCTCCGATCCGACATTTGGAACTGTGTGCGCGACAGAGGGTGCCTGCGGGCATGAATCACGAACGCAAAAACGGTTTGCATTTGGCGATGTGTTTGTCGAGTTGATCCCAGATCAGCTGGAAGTTTGCTTTGTCCAAATGGCGACGCTGATCCAAATTGATCACGCGCACATTCCACTTGGCCACATTTGCATCCAGTGGCATGTTGGTATGCTTGAGATGAAACCCCTTGACTGAAATTGAGCACCAAGAAAGAATAGATCAATGTGTGATTTGACTGAGGCAACAACGAATGCTAAAATGATGATTGAGTTGCAGCAAAAGAACCGACTCTTAGTTAACCAATAATGACAAAAATAAACGACCATAGAATCACTGTACACGTTCATTTCAATTGGCGGCTCAGACATTGCGATATTGGGCCACGTGGAACACTGTGCATCCAATCGTCTCGTCACATAGATCACTGTCAAAGGCTGTTTTATTGGATTTGAGGAAATCTCGAAACCCAATGAAATACATTAGTCAGTTATGAATGGTAACACACTTACTGATGGAAAATATCACCGCGGGATCAGAGCCGATCGGCCAACCTTTGAATTGCCAGGCTTGACCTTGAACGAACACAGCCACAACCCGGTTCCATTCGTCCGGTTGGAGTTTATGCGGCTGGTCGATCACACGGTAGGGAACACTGCGACCGTCGGACTTCTGACGGTGAATTAGAATCTCGTTCTCACGTCGCACACCAGACGCCTGTTTTTCTTGTGATGTGACGTACCGCAAATCCTGTGTGCGTGTAAATAAACAGGGAAGATGTTTTATCTTATACGATGACTTAGGTCCCCTGTACGAAATAGGCAATTTCTTTCTTGGGGAATAAATTGTCCGTCTATACCACACTGATAGCCCCAAACGTCGAAATGTGGTTTGGGCGGCTTTGTTAACTTCACCAATTCAAATTCATCGTCGTCGTATAGCAAGATACATTGAGACGAACCTCAGTGTGACGGCTACCACGCTGAGAATAGGAAAAAAGTACGGGTGTGTAAGGTGGGTAGAGAGTGAAGTTGTTTTGAGAGATAGAGGGGAAGAAAGTGAACCTCTATGGTCAACACAGAACACACACAGTCTACCTGTGATCGAACACCTCTTTAGGCACTCTGGCCTGATAAAAAAGACTTTGTGAACGTCACTACCATCGGTTTGCGGTCACAAGAGCTGTTTCCAACCAACTAGCTAGTCCACTGAACCTCGAGCTAGAAAGCGAGCGACACCTAATCGACCTAATTTTTTCGTGTCGCGTCTACTTGTCATCATCCAGTCTATGTGCAATTCTTCGACCTCGCATCGACAACCACAAAGTGCGATGCAGAAGACGATACTGAGCATGCGCAATATGTGATCGAGTCAATTCGGTGAGACAACAAATTTTCCATCACACCGACTGCTTACATCGATAGTGCTTCTCTTATTGCTGTATTCCACCAGAATGAAATTACTCAAGCACGGATTATCAAAAACCATTGGCCGATGGGTGCCCGTAAATTTGACGTCAGAGCCGCAAAGCAGAACTGGTACAATATATGTAAAAGTCAATTTTCTTGAGACTGCGCGGAAGCTAACGGTTTTCTGTTTACTTTTACTCTCTGGAATAAATGATTATACAAACGGTTTTCAGAAATAGGAAAGCGGTCATGTGGTGCAAATAAGGTAAGTTGGGTGGTGATGGTGGTAGTGTCTGAATACACTAACCACTAGGTTTCACAGAGCTGCAGTTTCGGAACAAGTATTTCTTTTACCCACCGATGAGCCACAAGTAGTCTGCTACTAGTCTGAATTGCTATTGCCGTTCCGGTTTACATTCTACCTTTTGCGTCT